GCAGAATTATTAATTTAGCGTAACATAAAATTAAAATATTTTTTTCAGGTAAAATTTTAGATTAATTTAAAAAACAGTTGTGAAATTTATAATTAAGCACACATTCTATGTGCTCTAAAAGCAAAAGTTGAACATTATATGGTACCTATATATACAGCATCTACTACGTGATTGTGTTAGTAAAATACGCATTAATCCTATATTAATACGATAACATGAAACTTATCGTACACTATTTTGGTATTTATTCATCATCATCATAAGGTCATCAATCCTAAGACTGGCTGGACATGTATCTCCACTCTTTCCTATCCTGAGCTAATCTTCGCATTTCCCCAAAACTAGAACAACCCACATCCTTAACTATTTGCGAACAGTAATCTAACCTAGGTCTACCTCTACCCCTCTTAACTTCTGTTTCTGCCTCTAATATGTCTCTGACTAGACCTTCATGCCTGAGAAGGTGTCCTACCAACCTATCTCGCCTATTTTTTATTGACTTCCATAGNTAATCTAGGTCTACCTCTACCCCTCCTAACTTCTGTTTCTGCCTCTAATATGTCTCTGACTAGACCTTCATGCCTGAGAAGGTGTCCTACCAACCTATCTCGCCTATTTTTTATTGACTCCGTAGACCCCTCTGTTCTCCTCTTCTTTCTAATACCTCTTCATTTCTAACCTTTTCCACCCACATTATCCTCATCATTCGCCTGTAACACCATATTTCGAAGGCTTCTAAACTTTTCTTTTCCGCCGCGCCCACTGTCCATGTTTCGCACTCGTACAACGCCGCGCTCGAAACATACACCTTTAAGTATTTATCATAAAATGATAAAAGAAAAATTAATGATGTCTACTAAAACTGTACCATAGGTGTGTCCAATATAAAATTCATTTGTTAATATTATCGTTACGTCAAGTAAAAAAGTATATAAAAGATTATGTTTTATGGGCAATGTAACATATTTTGCTTACCAATACCTTCATAAAAATACTTGCATAAAATTTATTGTTTGAGGTAAAGGTACCTAATTGTTTACTTTTATTGTATAAGACCGTGGATTGGTGCCTGATAAAAAAGGATAGAGGCGGATAGAAATATACAACACTAAAAAAAAGTGTTTTTAAATGGAGAAGCATAACGTCAAAAAATTTTTGCTATGATAAATTCTCATATAGTCCAGTCGGTAGAGAATTTTCTCGGCTTAAATTTGTTACCAGACGGGAGTTGTTCCATGTTGTAGGCGGAGAAAGTTAAGCATCCCTGTATATTTTTAAACTTCGAAAAAGTGTGCGTTAACAAATGGGGGAGGTCTAAAGTTGGCAAAAGCCAGGTTTTTAGATCTAGAAGGCTAGGTATGCCTTTTAGAAAGAAAAGTTTCAGGTAGACATTGTAGAGAAATTAAAAAATTCCAATTTGAGTCGCGGTACGATCAATTTTGTCAATTACTTATCGCACAAATCCCAAAAAACCGTCACAAATTGCTATTTCTTGTATACCTAATGATTGTTTATTGCAAAAATTACTTTTTTAGTGATTTTATCACATTAAAATGAAGGGGCTTTTAAATTTGGAATCGAACTAGTTTTTGTTAATTGTTTATCCCAACAGACATGAATAGTTATTGCCGTAACTTGTTTTTTGAGCAAGAATTATCAGTTGCAAATGGGTTCAATCTCTTCGTAAAGGTGGAGTTCTTCATATCCCGTTAGGGGCAAATCAAAAAATTCATTTTTATTCCTTTATTTATGCTGTAAATACGGGGGTGATATTTCTTTATAAACAATTAGAGCTAGAGCGACCCCTTTTTTGGGATTTGTGCAACAACTAATTAACAAAATTGATCGCAGCGCAGCTCAAATTAAAGGTTTTTAATTTCTCTACAATTGTTATTTGAAAAATAGGTTAGGTTAGGTTAGGTTAAAAAAGTAAGTAGATGTAAGTGGCAAGACGAATTTACATTCAATTCAATTTACATTCAAAATGATGACTTCACTATTAAGTTAAGTACAGTTTTTCATGAAATCAACAAACAATTATAAATATTTTTTTTTGTTTTTTTTTTTAAGATATATGTTAATATTTATAAAACTCGGTGTTTCAACTCCAATATGAAAATTGGTTTTCTTTGGATAAATACTAAAATATAACACATATAATATATTTTCAAAAATACTTGGTTTACATTTCTGTGTCATCAACATGATTTACTTAGTTATTTTATTCTCTCGTCACGTTAATATATCCATTTATAAAAGGACACATGAGACTTACCTACTACTTTGTATGCAACTTCTGATCCAACTTGAAGGTTTTCCATGACTGTAGTGTAAAAAGAGTAGATTCCATTTTCTGTTAGAAAAATTTCATGGTTCATACAAAAATTCAATCAGTAACCAATCCTTGTAGTGATAAGGAACGTGTCTGCTCTTGTTAACTGAAAATGAGATTAAAACAAAATCAATAGATTCTATAAGAAGTGGAATGCACTAGTACTGTAAATAATGAACAATTTCCTGTCGTTTGTTAATTGTAAAATATAAATGACTTATAATATGTGCAGCAATGAAACCTCTTTCTTCTTCTTTTTCTTTCTTCCTCTTAAGCTTGCAACCTGTTCTTCATCAATTTTATGTCTCTATTCCGGATGTACATTGTCGCTTCCATATCTTCCTTGGTTGTCCTTAACTTCTTCCTGGAAGCAATTTATCTCTGCCCTTTTTTATCATTTTGTCCTGCCTAATTCGTTGCTATTGTCTTTGAATCTTCTGTTAAGTACAGACTTTATCTAGGCGTTATACTCTGTTTGATTCGTTTCTATTATAACTCGATTACTTGTTTCTTTTGGCTCCACATTTGTTTTTATAGGCCATAAAAATTTGATTCAAACTATTTTGGATAAAGTTTCCCAGTAGCCCTTTTTTGTTTTTTTCACTGGATCTTTTGCTTCATTTATTACTTTATCGTATTGTAGCGTTTGAAGAGTTTTATATTTTAAGTGTGTCCTTTTTTTCGTCACATTTTATTTTACTAAACCAAAGAACTTTACTTGCTTTATGGTTTGGTTTTGGTTTTAGGGTTCTTACTTTACCTTGTTTTGAAGTTTATTCTAGCAGTCCTCTATGTCGTTTTCCCATGATATTGATTTGCCTGCTGGCTTTTATTGATAACACCACACAAGAAACGAAAAATAATTATTTCAGTTTCGTAATTTTTGATATCAATTATAAACAAAATTGTTACAGGTGTATTAAAAATAAACTAATTAAACCAAAAAGAAAATTAAATATTCAGTGGCGTAACAATAAGGTGGCAGAACGAGCAAAATGTCACGGACCTCGACTTGGGCCGGCGCGAAAGAGGTCGTGAAGAAAAGAACTTTGATTACAAAATTAATAAAAAATATTAATTTTGTATTTAATTAATTTATGTTAAGGGTATTAACTCAAAAACATACACGAATTATACAAATACATTCATAATAAAAACATATGGCTCAGTTTTAGAACGCGTCCATTCTCAGTTTTCGATCCACTTGTAGACACGAAATACAAACGTCAACCCGTATAAGAGAACTTGCCCATTTATTAATCATAATGAATCATATTATATCTTAAAGTGTATACTCCTTTCATGTTGTTTCTACCAATTAATTCTTATGACTACTACTAGTGCAGAACGATCATTTTCAAATTTAAAATTAATAAAAGCATATCTAAGAAATTCCATAGAATTGGAAAAGCTACGCAACTTGGCTATTCTATTGTCATCATAAGGTCATCGTTACTACATAATTATTTGCGTACAGTAATCTAATCTAGTTCTACCTCAACTCCTTTTAACTTCTGTTTCTGCCTGTAATATGCCTTTGACTAGAGCTTCATACCCGATAAGGTGTCCTACCAACCTATCTCGCCTACTTCTTAATGACTTTCATAGAGTCTTCTGTTTTCTTATTCTTTGTTATACCTCTTCATTTCTAACTCCACATTTCGAACACTCCTAACCTTTTCTTTTCCGCCGCGTCCACCGTCCATGTTTCGCTCCCGTACAGCACTGCGCTCCAAACATACACATTTAACAATCTTTTTCGAATTTCTAAATTAACCGTTCGCGAGCATAAAAGTGACTTTTTTTATAGAAGGTAACTCGACCCTGCGCTATCCTCTGCTTTATATCCCTACTAGTCCTTCCTTCTTGACTTATCTGACGTCCTAGATACCTAAAACTAGCCTAATTTTTCGTCTCCTATCTTTATATTCGCTCTTTCCCTACTTTTACTTTCTTTTAATACAATACTGTTTAAGTATATCGTTTAAATTTTAAGATACTGAAACAGCTACTCCCTGTAAATGTTTTATTGTAGCAATTCCAGTTATTTGTCAGGTAATACCCTTTTTGTGCATTAGTTACCGTGTGCTCAAGGTGCTTAAATTAATGTTTGTATTAAAGATGTCTGATAAGATAACTGTTTACAAAAAATGTAAAATATTAACCTCTGTGAGTTCTATGCCAAACAGCAAAATATATGAAAAATTAAAAAAAGGTATGCTAACAATTAACAGTTATTATTATCAATTTCTATTCGGGCTAATTATTACCCATGCGATTGAACAGATTTCAACGGAACTTTACAAATATGAGAAGGCAGTTATTAGGAGTGATGAAAACTTCTTCTTTACTTGTTTATTGGTTATAACAATTGTATTTATTAAAATAATTGTCATTAACATTGTCGGAAAATAATTGGAGTAGATGATAGAAATTAACTAATTAATATAATGGCGAAGACAACTTTTTTCTAATAGTTTTCCAGTATGAATTCTGTTAAAGTTCATTACGTCCAACTTAATTTTTCTTTTTTATTTTGTTGATTTTCTTTCGACTCTTACAGTTTATTATTCCACAATTATATAATTAATTACTCTCATTATTATAAAGAAACACTATTTGAATTACATATTAAACTGATACTAATTTTAATTTGTCTTGTTTTCAGAGGAAGTAGTGGATGGCTTGCCATATATAGATGCGGAAAAAGAACCCGATATTCTCATAATACGAGGCATCGACCCTTGTTTACCACTAAACGGTACAAACCATAACACATTTAAATATGAACTGATGAGTAAGGAACAAGATCCTCAGCTTGTCGTGAGAAGAGGACAGCCGTTTACATTAGATATTACACTGAGCAGGCCGTACAATGAAGACAAAGATGCAGTTTCGTTTATTTTCACTGTTGAAGGTTTGTTTTTCTATCTTAAAATAATTTTTAAAGTCTTCCTACAAGGATGCGAAAAAATCCTAAAAAATTAATCCATTTAGATATACGTAAAGGTAAACNAATACAATACTGTTTAAGTATATCGTTTAAATTTTAAGATACTGAAACAGCTACTCCCTGTAAATGTTTTATTGTAGCAATTCCAGTTATTTGTCAGGTAATACCCTTTTTGTGCATTAGTTACCGTGTGCTCAAGGTGCTTAAATTAATGTTTGTATTAAAGATGTCTGATAAGATAACTGTTTACAAAAAATGTAAAATATTAACCTCTGTGAGTTCTATGCCAAACAGCAAAATATATGAAAAATTAAAAAAAGGTATGCTAACAATTAACAGTTATTATTATCAATTTCTATTCGGGCTAATTATTACCCATGCGATTGAACAGATTTCAACGGAACTTTACAAATATGAGAAGGCAGTTATTAGGAGTGATGAAAACTTCTTCTTTACTTGTTTATTGGTTATAACAATTGTATTTATTAAAATAATTGTCATTAACATTGTCGGAAAATAATTGGAGTAGATGATAGAAATTAACTAATTAATATAATGGCGAAGACAACTTTTTTCTAATAGTTTTCCAGTATGAATTCTGTTAAAGTTCATTACGTCCAACTTAATTTTTCTTTTTTATTTTGTTGATTTTCTTTCGACTCTTACAGTTTATTATTCCACAATTATATAATTAATTACTCTCATTATTATAAAGAAACACTATTTGAATTACATATTAAACTGATACTAATTTTAATTTGTCTTGTTTTCAGAGGAAGTAGTGGATGGCTTGCCATATATAGATGCGGAAAAAGAACCCGATATTCTCATAATACGAGGCATCGACCCTTGTTTACCACTAAACGGTACAAACCATAACACATTTAAATATGAACTGATGAGTAAGGAACAAGATCCTCAGCTTGTCGTGAGAAGAGGACAGCCGTTTACATTAGATATTACACTGAGCAGGCCGTACAATGAAGACAAAGATGCAGTTTCGTTTATTTTCACTGTTGAAGGTTTGTTTTTCTATCTTAAAATAATTTTTAAAGTCTTCCTACAAGGATGCGAAAAAATCCTAAAAAATTAATCCATTTAGATATACGTAAAGGTAAACTTTTAGAAAAGCATCTTGACAATTTTTCAACAAATCTGCTTAAAATTATTTGCTTGTTTATAACAACGAAAACTGGTGCAAAACTTATATTGCATAAAGGTCCTATACTAGCTATACTCAACCTGTTAGCTCCTATTACACAACATGTGTTTAAAATTTTTGTAAATTCAATGTTTTTTTTGTGTTTTTCTCGAAAACTATTAATACAATTGGGTTGAATCAAAAACGACTTTAAAGGTCTTGGAATTTCCTACATTATCTTATTTCATTAGAGCTATTCGGTATCTGTTTTATTTCTAAAGATAAACATAAAAAAAATCTGAATTTCAATGTTTAAACATTGTTTAAACAAGAATGGACATTTCAGAGACCCTTTTTTTGATATTTATCAACCTACTGAACAAGCTAGTATAATTGTGGTTTACTGTGAAACATTTTGGCAAAAATCTGCTCTTTTTTATCTATATATTGACTCGGTGGGACCTGGAATGTATATTAAAAGCCACTGAAATATATTAAATAAAGAATGTTTTCTTTTTTTTTTTTATTAACAATTGTGTTTGTATTTGTTAATAAATAACTCGAAACATTTCATATTAAAATGGAAATGGTAATATTTGGCGGTGATTATACAATTGAATCGCTTATTGGCGTATGAATTTTTGCTCAATAAAGAATAATTTCTTGCGCATTTTTTCTGGAATACGTAACTGTCATGTTTATGAAATATAACATAAGCTGTTGCAAATTTAGTGATGTTTTCTCGTTCGACATTTTCAAATTATCGTTTTAAAATTCATTACAAATACTTGAGGTGCATTTGTTTATAACATTAACCGATAATGCTCTAGAAAGGACTCTTTCCTTAACACCACGCCGCGCCGAATCCGCTACATGCACCGCCTAACATATTCAGATAATAAGGGGGTTAACGGATCTAAGTGGATGGATAGACCACCAAAAGTGGAAAATAATACAGAGGGGGGGGAGGGAAATACCCTATTTTTAAATAGCGTATGTCATCGAGATCTTTCTGAAAAAATTACGGAAATGCAGATCTGCGTAATTAAAAAAACAGGGGTGGCGGACAAGGGTGAAGAAGGCAAAAATTGTTAATAAAGTAGTAAATTCGGTGTACTGAAACGTTAAATTACATTAAATATATCAACCTAGCCGAGCGGCGTGATCAACCTAATTTTTATATTATAGACGAGGAAAAGCCAAGCTATGGTCAAGGCACCCTAGTCGCTGTTCCATTATTAAACAAAATAGATCGCAACCAGCCATGGAACGTGATTATTGAGTCTACCAATGAAAATCAAATGAAAGTTCAAGTTACATCATCACCCGAATGCATCGTAAGTAAATGGCGAATGGAAATTGACACTAAACTCCTGGAGGATGGAGCGTACAGTTACAGTTGGGATACGGGAATTTACATTATATTCAATCCGTGGAATAAAAACGACCAGGTTTACATGAAGTCCGACGCGTGGAAAGAAGAAGCTGTGATGAACGACACTGGTTTAATATGGAGAGGGACAGCAAACAGATTGAGACCCACCGTTTGGAAATACGCCCAGTTTGAAAAAGATGTTTTAGACTGTGCCTTGTATGTTGTAAAAGAAGTTGGCAAGGTGTCAGTTTCTTCCAGAGCGGATCCTGTAGAAACAGTGCGAGCTATCGCGGCTGCAGTGAATTCTGCTGATGACAATGGAATTGTTATGGGCGATTGGTCGACCGAATTTAAGGATGGGACACATCCGACAAAGTGGGTTGGTAGTATGGAAATTTTGCAAAAATTTTACAAAAAAAAGAAACCTGTTAAATATGGACAGTACTGGGTATTTTCTGGAGTTTTGACAACT